TTCTTCCCTGTGGAGTTCACTGGCCAGGACTCCGCAATCCTGAGGAAGGGCACAAGGGTGTAATAGAGGCGGGATCCCGACTAGATAATACTCTAGTAGCAGAAGAAGCTCTCCGCTCCAGAGAAGTGTGTAGCTATCAGCTACAGCCAGCATCAGAGAAGTCTGCGCACCTGCCATCTCCAGAGAGGCGCGGCCGGCCAGGTCCGGCAGCGGCTAGCCAGCGGGACCAGAACCACGGCGGGAGAGTGCACGCACACCTGACCCTGGGCCACATCCAGAGTGAGTGCGCCCGGGAGCCCAGGCGTGCTCCCCACATCGCCTGCAGCCAGACTCACGCCGGGATTAGCCAGGTGTGGCGGAGACCCCAGGGTGCCCACACACACCACGCCGGGGGTCAAGCGACCCGCCCCATATCTTGTCTTAAATTGAGATTTTATAAAACATTTATCATACTTAAGTCCTAATGTTGAAACTTGTTTCCTTCATCCATGGCAAGACTGAATAGCATTGCTGCTACTGAACCCTCAAAGTGGATACCAGCTGGAATTTTCTCACAAAGCAACAGGAAATGCCCTCTGATGCCATTTCTTGGACTAAGTGGTAACAAAGATTTTCAATTAGTACCAAGTTTACCTAAAATATAATGAATACTATTTCACAAGTATGTTGAAACTTGTTTCCTTCATCCATGGCAAGACTGAATAGCATTGCTGCTACTGAACCCTCAAAGTGGATACCAGCTGGAATTTTCTCACAAAGCAACAGGAAATGCCCTCTGATGCCATTTCTTGGACTAAGTGGTAACAAAGATTTTCAATTAGTACCAAGTTTACCTAAAATATAATGAATACTATTTCACAAGTATAAAACCCAGTTCTGAATGCTTACAAGTTTTAAAAACATTGACAGAACTCCATTCAATGCACTGTGCATCTTAAATGGGTTTAATCATTTGTTCATTCAACACTCTTTCCCCTGGTGCTGGGGATTGAACCCACAGCCTCATGCATGCTAGACAAACTCTAGCACTGAGCCACATCTCAGCCCTCCTGCAACACAGTGAGCCCCTCTTGAGACTAGAAGAGATTAAGTCTCCTATAGATTCCTGAAGGAATTTATAATCTACTAGAAAAAAAGAATTAGAATGTGACCGTCCTAAATGCAAAACAGAGATAAGCACAAATAATTTGGACAGCACAGAAGAGGGATCAGTATCATTCAACTTGGAAAAAAAAAATCCTAGTTTTTGAAAAGTCACCAAATGTAGCTCTTGCAAAAAGAGAAAGGAGTCCATCTGTGCTGTCAAGGTTCACAAAATGCCCAAAACCGGCATGAAACTAATTGTTTTGTTTTAAGTAAATCATCTTCTGACTACAATACTATCATTTTCAAAATGTTAAAAGTTTTTAGTTTCTTAACCATTTCCCAACTGATAATTAAGAAACTCAATCTGACAAAACAAGGTTTTAGGTTATGTCTAACAGGTGACCACAACCCTCTCTGGGGATCTGAAACTACTTTCCAATTTTTCCCTAGCCTTATTATACTCAAATGTATCCATTTAAAACACTTTTTTCAAACTTCACACAAACTGAAATAGGATGGGCAAATCCTCAGTGCCCCGCCTTTTGTAGCCACATCAAAACAGAAATTCAAACACAGAAGAGATGCAAAACACAAAGTAAAGGGTAAGTCTGTCCAAGAAAGCTAATAGTTGACTACTTCCTCGTTAGATAATGTCTCTTCCTGGTACAGGGGCAGGGTGGCTATTAAATAAATACTCCACCTCCCCTAATCTTCAGTCCCTGAAATCTACAGAATTTGCAAAGAACCTGGCCGGGGGGGGGAGAAAGCGAGTGGGAAACTGACCCAAGCCTTGGCAGCGGAGTTTTGCTAGACTAGCAGCCCTGGGAGGGTTGAAAGCGGAGGAAACCGCAACTCCGACTTCGGATCGACAGAGAACGCGGGGCGCTGACCTCCGGGCTGCCGATCCCACGGCCCGGGTAGGTCCTGGTCCCTCAGGCGCCTCACCTGAGCCTCCGCAGGCCCGGGGGCAGCGAGATGCCCGGGACCTGGAGGGAAAGGGGGTCGTCACCTCCGGTACGAGACCTCCAGAGGCCAGCCTTGGGTCACACCAAGGAACCGCACCCCGGGGCACAAAAGCAGGGCCAGCCGGGCCGTCGCTTCTCCCCTGGGCGGGAGCTGCCCAGGCGAAAGCCGGGCCCGCCGCGGCGACTTCGGGTTCTCGCAGGTCGCCGACCGCACACGCCCCTCGCCGCCGACCCGCGGGAGCGAGGAGAAAGCCCCCGTGCCCCCTTGCCACCTGCCGGTCTCCGTCTCCGGACCGCCGAGTACTCAAACACCGCTCGGACCGCCCAGCGCAGACTGCGCGCGCAAGCAAATCCACGCACACAGCCGGGGCACCTCCGGGCCGCCGCCGCCGCGCGCGCGCACCCCCCCCCGCGCGTGCCCGTGAGCTCGAAGAGAGCGTCCACGCAAGCGCTGATGGGCGGGGCTAAGCAGCGAGCGCGCGCCGCGCTGGACATGGAGCCCTTGGCCCCGCCCCCCGGATTCGCCCCCCGGCAGCCTGAGCGCGCCCGCGAGCAGCGGTCTTCACTCTCACCAGGCTGGAGACGCCAAGACGCTCGGAATTGGCGGGGATGGCGGCTGGAGCCGAGGGCCTGGCTTCAGGGTGGAGCCAAGTCTGTGAAGGGGGCGAGGCCTCCGGACGCTGCAGTGGCAGCCACGTCCTGTTGTCTCTAAAAAGCAGCCCTGGCGCCTGTTTGTGGGGTTTCAGCCATGTCCGAGGTGAAGAGCCGGAAGAAGCCTGGGTCCAAGGGCGCCGCAGCGCAGCCGGAGAAGCGGGGCGAGGGCGGGAAGAGCCCCGAGAAGCGGGGCCGGAGCTGGGGGGACCCCCGGACCGCGCTCAGCCTGCTGTCGCTGGGGACGTGCCTGGGCCTGGCCTGGTAAGTGCGCGCGATGCCGCCAGCCGTGCATCCAGCCTCCCGTGGGCGCCCCGCTTCTAAGGCCACGCCGCACAGCTCCTCGGCTTCCTCCCAAACACGGCCCCGCCCAGCCCGCTTTGGCTTTGATGCTCTCACTTTGAACTCATCTTTCCTCCGTTCTAGTAGCACACCCCTGTCGCTGCCCACCAGTTTGGGAAAGAATCCAGTGGGACTTGAGCGCTGCAGGCTGGACCCACCCTTTACTAAGCACAGCTAAAAACTTACACTTCCTGTCCACTCTGCCACTGTGGGGACAGGTTGGCCCCACCCTCCCCAAAAATGCCTAGTGGAAACGTTTTCAACCTAGAAAGAGTCCTAGTTGCAAAGCAAGAGATGCAAATGAGGCTTTCTCCTACCTAGAGCACTGCGTTGAGGCTGTAAAGTCTTATTCCAAAGTTGGAGATTGAAATGTAGCACTGTGGGGGTGGAGAGATGTCTCAGCGGTTAAGAACACCGGCTCTTCTTGCAGAAGACCCGGGTTCGAATCCCAGCACCCACATGGTGGCTAACTACTGTCCATACCTCCAGTTCCAAGGGGATCCGATGGCCTTTTCTGACCTCCATGGGCATTGCACGATAAGGTGGAAACTAACATGCATGTGGGCAATACACTCATACACATAAAATAAAATATAAAATAAACGACTAATTCTTTAAAATGCTTGACTGTCTTAGGAAAATAGGCGGAAATGCATTTGTTATTGCAAAAGCACATTCTTGAGTTATTGCTTCTCTCTATAGCCTAATACAAATGGTTTTAGTTCCTAAAGTTATTAATATAGTTTCCATTAATTAGCCAAAACCTCAAATTCAAGAAGTAAATTGTATCACAAAATGTTCAGCTTTTCAGTAATTAGAGTTCTGGGGAAAAGCTCCAATATGGCCAGTGAGATGGCTCATCGGGCAAAGATGCTTGACCTGATGCTTGACCTGACAAGCCTGACAACAGCCTGAGATCCACACTGTCTAAGGAGAGAACTGAGTCCTGCAACTTGTCCTCTGACCTCCATACACATACACACGTAAATAAGTGAAAAAAAAAAGAGCAATAGAGAAAGACAGCCAATGCACACACTCTGCCATACACTCCCCCCTACACACACAACTTCAATAGGACACAAAAAGAATAAAACTTTAAAAGTGATGTTTCATCTCAGAAATTTACTCTTAGGGATTATAAAGGTGAAAACTTGTTACATTGATTAGAAAGATTTTGTCTGGGGGCTGGAGAGACGGCTCAGCAGTTAAGAACACTGGTTATTCTAGCAGAAGACCCGGGTTCGAATCCCAGCACCCACATGGCAGCTAACAACTGTCCATAACTCCAGTCCCAGGGGATCTGATTGCCTCTTCTGTCCTCCATGGGCATTGCACGACATGGGTGCACTTACCTACATGCAGGCAATAC